CGCACGCACACCCCCCCCCCCGCGGGCACGCGCCGATTGCACACACCTTACACACTGCTAATGCACACATACCTCTTACGTAGGTGCGGACGCACTGACTACACACACATACGGATCACACACACTAGTTGCATAGGCGTGGACGCACTGGTTAGGTTACACACACACTGATAACACACAGGCGCGCTGATTGTACCCCTCCACCCCGATTATACACACGTGTGCACAAATCAAGTACACGGGGGTGGGTGCACTGATTACACACGCACACGGATTACACCCCCCCAGTTACACAGGTGTGGACACGCTGGTTAGATTTCACACACACGCACTGATAACACACTCACACCGGTGCATCGATTGCACAATTATACACACGTACACACACACCTGTTACACAGGGGTGGACACACTGATTACATACACACATGCGGGTTTTACACACACACACCAGTTACACAGGCGTGGACACTGGCTAGATTACACACACTGATAACACACTCGCAGGCATACTGATTGCACACCTCCCCCCGATTATACACATGTATGCACACACCGGTTACACAGGGGTGGACACATTGATGACACGTACAGATTATGCACAGACACACTGATTACACACCGGGGCATACAGACACTGATTACAAGTACATACACACTGATTAAATGCATGCACGCTGATTATGTGTGTTCACACACTAATTCCACACACACTGATTCCACACACATACACAGGGTCCTGTGTACACACAGTGCCCTCAGGATCCTGCCCCAGCCACCCCCTGGGAGCCCCCTGTCCAAGGGCGGGGGCTTTGCTTTCCCTTCAGCTGTGTATCCTTTATCTCCTTCCTAACCATCAGTGCAGAGAAGCAGCTCTCTGATTTCCAGTCACCTGCAGCCATCTGTAGCTGTGTGAGCCATTGGGGAGTGAAAGCAAACCCTGGGACAGTTCCTAATGAAGCCTGGAATAGCTGCAAGTAATTGCAGTGTAACACAAGGCCCTTTTGGCTGCCTTTTGCCGCAGAGCTTCTAGAAGCAACTGTAATGAAAGGTCCTGTGGTGCTCATTCTTTGCAATGACACTCTCTCATGATGCACAAATGCAAGGTCTGTCTCTCAGGCAGGGGAAGTGAACGCTCTGGGGTCCAGTCTTTATCTCAAACCCACGCATCTCTAAAGGACACAAAAATAATAAACTGGGGCGTAGGAAGCCCCTAGTCATACAACTAAACTAATCACTTCTGGCACAGAAAATCTACATGCCAGCATATCCCAGAGCCTGAGCACTGGAACCTCCTAAATCTCAACAAATGTTGCCCCTAAACCCCCAACCTTATAGCGTTTCAAGAACAAATAAAAGTCTGTTTCACTGCACTAAAAAAAGTCCTTGAACCTTTGCATCTTAGTATGTGATGGCTGCAAAAAGCAGGATCTAGAATATGGATCCTTACATTCATTCAGGCCCCAATCCATATTCTGTGGCTTAAACTGAAAACAAAGGCAGTGCAGCAACAGAAAAAAATCAGCTAAAAACAATGGACCTGGATGCACCCTCATGGATCAGTGCTGCAAAAAATTGGTTCCAGGATTGAATCCAGTTGGAGCTTTGCAATTTTGGGGGGGCCCAAATTATAGTTTGTATAATTTAAATAGAAAACAAGCATCATTTCTCCTATATTAATGAAATAAAATTCAGACTTGGATGCTTGCTGGCCTGATGCCACTAGAAAAGCATAGATCTGGTTCTAGGATCCTGTTTCACACTGCCAATTTTTAACCTCAGCCCTCCATCCTCATCAAAGTAGAATTGTCTGAATAGAGAAAAAGGTTGCATCAATATAGCAAAATGTAGCTATGCAATATGTATCCCACACGTTGTGTTTCAGTGAAACCATAATAGCCTATATCTGACATCACTTTGTCTAGATACTGTACCTCCAGATTTCATATTACGTATTTATATTTTGCAATGGAACTGGTCCAGTGGTTGTGCAATTTAGCTTGAACACTTGATGGGTTAGCACTTTATGGAGCTAATCAAGACAATGTAAAGGAATTATATACTGTAATTCCATTAATTGTAAATAATTTCTAATGTTATACATGTCTAAAAATCCGTTAGGCTGAAAAAATCTAAGCACATTACCTACAGATTTATCCAATGCGCAAGCATAGCTGTACTTGTTATCTGTCCAGAAGATAAAATTTGGGATGATGGTGATAATACAGGTTAGATTTGCTGGACCTAGATCTGCAATTGGATTTTTCAAGTGTTTGCATGCTAGGAGTGATGAGGGGCCAGATTTTTATTGTAGGAGTGACTATACAGGCAGCCCTTGGACTTATGACACAATTGGTTCCTGAAAACTGCATCTTAAGTCAAAATGTTGCAACTTGGAACTGATTTTCCCATAGGAAACAATGTTATAAATGGGGGATTGGTTCCTGAACCAAGGCCCAATACCCTATTTTCACCAAAAATAACCCATAATTTTGTACTCAACCAATTATAGATGAGTAATATAGGTACATTAACGTATTTATATTGTAATAAGCAATCACATTGATTTGGAAGGACTTCTTTGAGGTGACTTTGCTGGACTTTTTGAAGGGCTCTTGGCTGGAGTCTTCTCAGGAGTCTTGGCTGCTTTCTTAAAGAAAGTGTCCAAGGAAGCTTGGATAGATGTTTTCCAGGGAGATAGGTGATGCAGAGAACGTGTTCACTGGCATGGCATTATATCGGATCAAGCATTGTAAAGTCTAAACTGACGTCAAAAAGTTGAAGCAGTGTCAATTTCTAAGCGTTGTAAGTGTGAAACATGACTGGAAATGTTGTAAGTCAAGGACTGCCTGTACTTGATCTGTATTTATGCAGTAAAACTGAGTGCTTTGTAGCCAAAAATGGCCAAATCCAACAGGACCCAGGTGCAAGGTACATGTTCCTGAGCTGTTTTTGCACTGATGTGTATTAGAGCCAGAATTTTTCTAAAGGATAATGTGCTTTTTTGACTATACAATTTGGGGCTTAGGGCAGGATTCACCAGGCTAAGAATGCTGACTATCTTTGTAGTGCTATTGAATAGGGATATACCAGGATATGAATTTTTGAGTGAGAGTAGAGCATCTATCTTTCCCTGCTGAGCTGGTACCATTTTGAGGTTTGGGATTTTAGATGCATATGTTGGCCGTTACAACAGAGTCTGGATTTAGCAGTTCATTAGGAACTCTTACATCTTCTTCTTGATTTAGGCAATAGAATTTGAGAGGCTGTAGTTAAAAATTGGCAGGCTTCCATTGCCAAATATGTGTTTTCTAGTGCTATAGGACTGGTATCCAAAAGAGGGTCCAGGACTCCCCCCCCCACATCCCCACACACACCCCCCAGTGAAACAGAAGCAGCCCTACATGTTTATGTAACTTGGAGCGTGAAGCCAAAAATCATTACACTGACTGCAGTGAGGTGCCAGATGCAGAATTTTGCAGTGTTCGTGTGTCTGAATGCATCAGGATCCAGTATTTTGGAGAAATGGGCAGATAAAAGTAGCTGTACTCATTCTTCTATATGCAGTATGGAATATAGGAAAAAGGCAAATGTTAGCTAGATTTGCTACATCCCATTGTTTGGGGGATTCTTGGGTTTTTGCATAACTGGGGTCTGGAATCCTTTTGTGCAGTACAAGCTACAAAACTTGTTCTCTGTTTGGTGGCATTGGTTTGGGGGCTTGGGTCAACATTTGGGTGGATCCACCAGGCTTCTAGTGCCAGACTTGGGTTCTTTGCAGTGCATATACTCTAGAATGCAAAAGGGTCTTAATTTTATGTTGGTGCAGTTAGAGTAGCTAGACATCTAAATTGTCATGATATTTGGGAGCTTGGAGTTACAGATCAGCAGATCCAGGTAAATTTAGCTTTTGCTTTTCCAAAAAATGGCATAATAACATTTAAAATGTGAATGCCACCAACAGAGAATTCCTGGTATGTCTCACAAATAGAAAACATGATGTTAGTATCTGACATCATCAGTGTGCAGTTTTTCTTTCAGTCAGAATGGATCCTTGGAGCTCTGTGTTCTTTAGAGAAGTTAGATGGTTAGGAAAATAATATGCGGGAACTGTAATGACCAGAGGAAATGATCACGTGAAGGTTACCAATGCTGCAGGATAGGGCTAGAAATTTATGATGTACAGTCCTCTCTTTTTTTGGTTGATGTGATCAGGAACCCCTATTTTAATATATTTTGTGCAGACTTTCATGACACGCAAGATCCCATC